ATATCAAATTAAAACAATACAAGCAATTTTACTTTGCGAAAATGAAAGATCTAACCTACTTTCAATTACAGAATCCATATGCTGTTAATTTCAAATGCAATCAATTTTAAAAAGTGCTTTTAGCTAATTCTTATCCATGACTGATGATAAATATTCACATTGTCTCTAGTGTATTGAGTTTCTCTTAGTTTTACTCTGGTGATACAGTGACTGAATTTATAAACACGTTTTCCATATGGTACTGTTGCAAGCCTGTCAGCTCTGTTCAGCTCCTCTCTTTGAAACATCATTACTGTTGTTGTCAAGACATGAAAACTCCTATTAAGTATGTTTCTTCAGAAGATGCATTTCTGTATGGCACTGAAAATAACTAAGGTAGCCCTATCTCAGTCAATGTGGCTTAGCATGAAACAATGGATGTTTCACGATCAGAAGCGGTTACATCACTTGGATGGAAAATGTGACTATAAGGCTTTTAGAATACAAGGAGTATGTGCTCTTTGTAAGTATGTTAAGCTACTGATATGCAGTGCCCTTTCTGAAATAGTAACAAAACACATTACAGAATGATAAAATGTCTTAGAAATCTACAAACTGTCATACTGTAATCTTAACAGCTTTGCACAGAGTCATATTTATCATAATTAAGTTCTGAAAACATGAGGGTCACAATTTATTCATGCCCTTGTAATTAGTATTTTCCATCTGGCATAGTATAAACTGGCAAGATGCCTTCTGTGGCATGCAGTAAGGTTCTGGCACTTCTGATGGGAAATTTTCAACCATTTCTCCAGGAAGAACAATGATGGAGTTTGAATAATGCATGCTCAATCAGACTTGTGCTCCAGAGCTTGAGATAGCCAGTCAAGAACATTTATTTATTGTGTAGTTAACTACCCCTTTGTTAACTATACTCTGGATCATTTTGACCATGTTTGACCTTCTTGGCAGAGAAACCAGGTTTTTGGCCAAAATGTGCTGGTACAGTAGATTCTCCCTGTCTTGACAAGGGCTCCAGAACAATAGGTACAAAACAACCCTGAAACATAATACTGTATAACAACAACAATATTCCACAGTGGGTATGAAGATTTTCTCAACATGAGCTTCACCATTGCTTCACCTTCACAAAGGCCTTCACTACATGGCATCACATTGGTTAACGAACATCACCACATTCACTCAGGGGACATTAAATGGCTGTTTGCGACACTTTGTATCCCGAATAAGCTAGTTTGTGCTGAATATTTCCAGCTGCTGCCTTTGGATTTATAGTTTCTCCCAAACTACCTGTTTCACAACCCATGGTGACAACATACCCTTCCTGGCAAGGATGTAACTATATCAGACTCCATAAATCTCATTGTAATTGACACTACAGTAGAAAGTAGTAGAGTTACCTTTTTGTGTTTTTACAATCATCCCCCATACAGTATATATGACTTTGAAGGGGTATCAATAAATCTGCAGGCCAGTGTGAATTATATTTTCTTCCAATCTATTGTATCTATATGGAAAAGTAATATAAAGATGTATATACACAGACTAGAGTTTACATATATATACAGTATATAGAAAAATAATTTAAAAAATGGCCAAATAACTTACAGTATATATGGTAATGCTTCTGGATATATTTTGACATTTAAATTTAAATTATGTCATTATTTGAATCTATTTGTCATATTTTGTCAGTGAATTACAGTACATGAAGTACTTGTCAAAGTGTGCCTTCAGAATATTTTTAAAACTAAAGGAAAGACTGGTTTAGACTTAATATATATATATATGCATATTTCATTATATCATCAAATATATGTCATAGTATTGAAGGCTACAACTTTTATATATACTGTACTTATGTTCTTTACATATTTCCATGTAAACTCAGAGATGATAAAAAGAGAAAATCAATATACTGTACCAGTCACTGGCTTGAGATTTTTTTCTTTCTCTAAATTTCTTCACCAATCTAGTACATACCAGCTGACATTTAAGTACAAAGCAAATAGGTAGTAACATGAAATGTCTTGTTAAAAAATATCATAACATGTTTTAATTTTAAATATAAAATGGATCTGTCAAAATGATTGCTGAAGGAAAAATTTGTAGCTAGTATAAGTAGGCGATAATACTATTTGCCATCAAGCAATTATTAGACGGTGTGTTGTGGTAGATAACATTCTGAATAGAACTGTAATACGCATAACTCATTTCAGGCTCTCTATGGCAAGCCAAATTACTATTTTACAATACTGTACTTCCTATTCATTTAGAGCTATTGTGTTCATATCAATAAATCAAGATACCATTAAACAATTTGCAGATATAAATTAATATATCTTTGTTGAAAGAAAATGTAATATAACATTATATAAAATAAGATCAGATGTCAAATGTCAACATGTTTGAAAATGAAACACTTATATTAAAAAACAGTTGTTAATAGATGCAGGGTTATCAATAACCAAAGAGTTGTTAAATGTTAACAGGAAGACTTCAAAGTAAACAAGAAGTCATTCAAGATACACGATCTCTAGTTTAATTTGAGATACCTACTGTTAAATGAGCAAGAAGTCATTTCAAATTATTTTTAAATACACATTTCATTTTAAGATATCTTCATTCATATTAATTTTGATATATCTTAGTATTGAGTTAATCTGAAATGATGTAAACATACATAAAATTCAAAAGATAATGAATAAAGGATAACACAATCTTTTAAGATGTTATTAAATTTAATTGGGGATATCATTCAATAATCTTGTCATATAAAAAGTGTTTTAAACTGGAGCAAATCTGCATTGAATTACAGTTTTTCTTTTTAATTACACCTTTATTTAACAATAAAATAACATTCAGTAAGATTGTAAGTCAATTATCTTTACTTCAAAAGAATAAGCCATACGGTTTCCTATAAAAGAGCATTTGTAATAGTAAATTGACAGTAGGTGTTAAAAATACAGATTGCATAGTATAAAGGCATATTTTCTTCTAATAGTTTATGCAAACAAATACATTAACTGGAGACAATACTAATGGCATCAATTTGTTGATGCATTATGGTGTTACAGCAGGTTATGTGATATAAAGTCCTTTGTCTCTGACCATGGTGTTATATTACATAACTAACACAATATATGACTTGGCAGGGAAATCTCTAGCTTCTGAGAATACTCGCTACTAATACTCAATTACACCCCTCGCCTCTTGTGTTATTATATTCAGTTTTTTGTTTAGAGAAATTCTGTAGAATATAAAAGGAAATTATATTGCATTATATTCTTGTATTAACAATTTTCTTTTAATTATTGGACTAATACAGTAACTAAGCATATATATAGTATATATGTCCTCTCACTTGCTGGATTAAAAACAGTGCTGCGTTTCACCTTAAATTTGGCACAAAAAAGCCGGTTAAATCTGGACTACAGTATATTGCAGAGTGCGCCTCTAGTGGTAAAAAGGGCGCCATGACAGACTACTGTATTTGCAGGTTATACATTACGTGCTGCATTAGACTTTCAAAAGACTAACTATATAGGAATTAAATAAAACATTCTAAAGCTGCATGTCTGTGTGTGTACACCGTCACTGTATCCATGTACTAATTCATTATAATAAAAAACTTCAAACTCGATGATGTTTGAAGAGTTGTCTCATGGCATATTTATAGTGTGAGCACGTTTGCTTGTGTGCGCGTACTGGGGGGACCATCTCATTCAAGAATATCAGAGAAGTAGGAAAATAATTTACAGACAAAAAGTTGGTGATCATCACAGACCTCCGTACCTGAACGTTTGGCAAATGGAACTGATGAACAGCCGGTTCTGGTGCAGAGGGCATCCGTATCAAAGGCAGAAAAGGGTCACAGGGAAGTTGCCAGCCAGTTACAGCTCGCAGCAGCGGAGGTGGGTGCGGAGAAGACACTAAGAGTGGAGGTGGAGCACCCCCTATCCTGTACAGCCCAGAAGCGGCTGGGATCATCCAAATCCACGGAGGGGGCTCTCCATTCATCTGCCAGAGCTGTGGTTGTCCTTTTAATCTTGGTATAGGAATCATTCTACATTCTATACCCAATGGATTCAGTGGGTAGCCTTTAAGGGACATTAGCAAACAAGATATAAAACAAGCAAACGTGTGGCCAAACAGCTACAGATATTACAATATATAAATAAGAAAATCATGAAACGGGTAATGATAAACATAACAACTGCAAGGGTAACGTATAGTAAAATTGCTTAAGAGTTTTAAGAAGCATTTTCAAAATTATCTGAACTACAAATAACGAAAAAGCTAGTTTCAACCCTACATAATTGTTTATAAAAGTACAGTATACACAGATTACTTTTGATTTACTCGCTTCAAAATTAATGTGCTAATTATTTGATACATGTGTGCTTGATTGTTCTTTTTATGGAGAGGTCATAAACTTAATGCTGAACATGTTATCGGGAAATAGCTTGCTTATAACCAGCTATGGTTGATTTTCGTTACGAACACCCTGCAGTCACGCAACATGGTAAAAACATAAACTCGCTCTAAGACACGTGGAACACATTAACTGCAGGTATTCCTTAAGTATCGGATGTGTTCAGGGGCTTCTTTTAAAGCTCTCCCCAGACGGACTCTTTTGGAACAGCTAATCAATATCAATTCACATAATTCAAAAAATCCTTTTCCGTCCTGACAATTTCAGTTACATAAAAATCAAATAAAGATCTGTATTATTTGGAAATGGGCTTTTTTCCAAATCCAAATGGAAAAAAAATAAAACCGTATCCCACCTTTACTCTGCAGCCGTGGCGATCCCTTTCAAACGCATTGACATTTAAAGTACTGTATTGTGAAATAAACGATACCAAGAATACTCTTCTGTTACGCATGAAATGACTTATGAATACCAAGTATCACCAAAAGGCGTATATAGAATATTTAGGGAAACTTCATATAAAGTTGTTCTAAAACCACTGCTTTTTTTTCAACACTATGTATACAGAACATAGTATAAACTCACCTCAAATGTGGTTCATGAAATGCCAAGAGCAGGTATCTTTACTGGTCCATCATATTTGCTTAGTTCCCCATGAAATGGGAACCGCTGAATTACCTCGAATATCCAAGAATCGTCCTTTGAATTTAATGTGTATTCAATTCCCAGCGCATTCAGAAATGATAGAAAATTAAAGTGCTTATACAGAAAACTGAAGCTGCACGTTTTCCAAATACATCCATGAAAATATCCTCGGCGGAGCCTGCTGTTTTTTTTCTTAACTGCGCTCTACAGCTATCCAGCAAAGGAGATGCTCGGAGACTGTCACTGATTTAGTGATGATAAACCACAGATCTCTCACTCCCCATTTCAGCCTCTCTGATCTCCTCCCTGCTAAAAGAACGCCACCTCTCACACAAGATCGCTCTTCACATTTGATATTAAAAAGCAAAAATCTGAAAATATGAAACACAATAACGACTTATCTCCGTTTCGACTTTCTGTGCTGTTTCATTTGTACAATGCTTTACTGTTCTAAACATTTTAAAATAAATATACGTTGCTGTTGCTTTTGTTTTGTATAATCTAAACTAAAATCACGACGTTTTATAAACATGAAACCTTCCGCTACCTACTCAGCAATGCAAAAAACAGCAACTGCTCACATCAACCTACCTCAGCCTGTACCAGCTGGAGCGCTATGTATGTAATACAGTACGTGCTCTTTGGCGTATAAAAGTCGTTGATTAGTTTCGAATTATATACAGAATCTTGAGTTCTTTGAGAATTACCTTCAGTAGAAATTGAAATTGTCGTATGATATATTTGGAGAGTGTGTCTTCCATTGATTAAAATACAGATGAGAACATTCTACTGTTTTCTAAATGACTTTTTTTTCTAAATGTTAAAAGAAACTGCGATTCAATGCTGTCATAAAAAACATTAATTTAACATTTCATATCGAAGTGGCAATCAAACTCATCATTACGCTATTGTCAGTCACCTTAACTAGTCAATCTTTTAATCAAACACCACATTAACTAATTGCCGACGTACAGTACATATACTGGTTTGTTTACACGTTTATATTATTTAAATCTTGACAGATTCCGAATGTGAGTGAAGTATTATATTTTTCTTACCAGTAGAGGGAACATCAGAACTGTTATACGCAAACAGAGCTTCTTCCTATGCCAACTAAAAAGCTTATTTTCCATTAAATAATGGAATGATTCTTCTGTCGGGCGTCTAATCATCGTTAATTATTCGTGAATATAACATAAATTCCTAACGGGGTACGTTCTTAAATCAGTATGTAACTACAGTATGTACAGTAACTGGAATGGATATTATTTCTGTGGCCCCTTTCTCCCCTCTCAGAGAGCTAGGGGTTGAAGAAACTCAAGCAGGGGTATTTGTAATGTTCTTTGCAAAAATGATTCTTCCCATATTAGTTTTTACCCAACGAAAAGGTATCTTAGAAATATGTATTTTGTTTAACTCTTTCCTGTGTACCTCTTACAAATATATTCATACATTAATTAAAAACGCATGATTTTATAAACTCATGTAACTTTCACAGATGATAAACAGCATTCTTCAACAATGCCAATGATATGTCCTCATCAGGCCTTACTGTATAGATATTGTGTATAAAAATATCCAACTTCACTAATCATTAATCCGAGCTGTAAATAATCCAGCTATAAATATCTTACATTTTTAAAACTAGTTCGCACCATCTTTTCATTTTGTTCACTATTCAACTAATTTACTATAATATTGTAGGCAATTTGTATGTGTTATATCTTCTGATGAAAGAGCTCAGAAGCAATGGAAAATCAGGTAAGGGCTTAAAAATCGTGACCAGTAGTAGCTAAATGCTAGCATAACAGCATTCGATATTACAAGAAAAGACAAGGTCAGGCCAAGAAATAGGAGGTTAATGCCTTACATTTCCAAGAGGGACAGAAAAAGAAATGCATGTCTGTGGATGGAAAATAGTACTGAAAATAGTGACCTGTTTTTAAATCCTTTCTGTTAAAAATAGAGAAAATGTCTCATAAGAAATATCAGAATTTTCAATACTTAAATGGTGTGTGACATACCTAATGCACTATTTGCACTATTTTTACCTAATGCACATACCTAATGCACTTATTAGTACAAAAACCTCATTTTACCAGTTTGATTCTAAAACAGGCAAGAAGGTTGAATAATCCTAAATTATATTTGTTTCTTTCTGTGGTTGACTTCCTTCTCATTAGTTATGGAAAACAAGCATAGCTTCTTAAAGATAAAATCCTCAACTGCAAACACTGTATTGCATCCATTTGATACGAGCAGTTAGTGATGTTGTTTTGCTGCAGTTTCATTAATTAGATAGGTGTCCTTGAACAATATGTAATATGACTAGCAACAACACAGTATGAGATTGTAGTCATTTATTAACCAACAATAAAATAGGTTTTAACTTTAGATCTCCAAACTTGCATTAGTTGTCTGGAGTCTACCACCTCCAGTCCCTGTCAGAGTTCAGTCTCAAGATCATCTGTTTACTAAACAGTTTTTCCTTGCTTCTGATGAAGAATAAAAACAGACTGTGAGTCATTAACTTTCTACACAATTGAAATGTTACAGTACCTCACCTTAAATTAAATATTATAACAACATTTACAAATATTTCTGGAAGTCTTTTATTTAGTTACATTTATTTCACCGTAGTTTTCAAAATGATATTAAAATGGTGGTCTTTGGTTATGTCAGACATTCAGTCATGATGTTGGGGCCACATTCCAAATATATTTGGAACCAGCAACTCACAACTGGCAACCGACTGAAGCTAAGCAGGTGTGAGCCTAGTCAGTACCTGGATGGGAGACCTCCTGGGAAAAAACAAGGTTGCTGCTGGAAGAGGTGTTAGTGGGGCCAGTAGGGGGCACTTGCCCTGCTGTCCATGTGGGTCCTAATGCCCCAGTATAGTGACGGGGACACTATACTGTAAACAGTCGCCGTCCTTCGGATGAGACGCTCTCTGTGGTCATTAAAAATCCCAGGGTGTTTCTCGAAAAGAGTAGGGATGTAACCCTGGCATCATGGCTAAATTTCCCATTGGCCCTTACCAATCATGACTTCCTAATAATTCCCATCTATGAATTGGCTTCCTTACTCTGCTCTTCTCCCCACTGATAGCTGATGTGTGGTGAGCGTTCTGGCGCCCTATGGCTGCTGTCTCATCAGGTGGATGCTGCACATTGGTGGTGGAGGGGAGTCCCCATTAAAGCGCTTTGAGTGGTGTGTCCAGAAAAGTGCTATATAAGTGAAAGCAATTATAATTATTATTAATTATATTTAAGTTGTGTATATGTTTTTGACTTGGGGATATTTTATACAGGTCAAGAAGTCAGAATGTCCCAAATCAAAGTGTGAACATTGAGAAGTTTTGTTATATTGTCTTTTACAATGTCTTCATATGGTTATGACCACATCCCTTGAAGTGTACACATTTTCATTGCCACAATGCTCCTTTACTGTTTCACAATCTTATTTGATTATCTGGGATAACTCTCCCTGGCCAGCAGGAGTCTCTGCTACATACCTCTCCCATGTAGAGAAAGATACCGAAGGACCACCTACACACCCAATGTTACTAAAATGGTATCATGTTGAGATTTTGGCATATACTGTACACCAGGGTGAGTTGTGAGTTGAGATCAATACTGGTGCTTCTGTCATCGATTGAAAACATAGGTGTGTGACAACAAAGTCTAGTGACTTTATGTTTAAGTTTGTACAGAATGGCCAGTGTCATGGCGCATTGTCTTTTCTTGTTCTGATCCTTCCCATTGATCAAAGATTATTCCACAAGCATTTGTTATCTACCACACAGATCAGAGGTGACATGGGAAAATATTGATACAGTACTGGTGATGTCTTCTCTTCTTTGGGACATGAAATGCCCTCTCAGACTGAGAGGGGGGTTCTAGATCTGGGTGTAAATACACAACACATCACATCACTACTAGTCCTGAGCCATGGTTAGTGGGGCTTCAAAAAACCTCAGTGATATGGACTCACCAGAACACAAAGACAAAGGAAACAGAGGACGGGGGCATAAGGAACTACAGTACATTCCTCAGGATTGCCAGGATTAAGAGGATGCCTAGGACCCACCAAAGGACTACACTGAGTTTTACCCTTTCTCTACATGTTGTGGAAGGACGCACAATAGGTAGAAAACATTAATGTACCTTTTGCTGGAGAAAATGAGTCCTAGCAACCTTATGATGATAGGTGGTGTAGTCAGCTACAAAAGCTAAATGTTTCCTGCATTTAGTGGTCACCATTCCATAACACTGTGTTTTTACTTTGGTGTCAATGGCCAATTCATCAAGTATTTTTTGCTCACATGACTAATGAAGGAATCATTAACAGTTCACAGATTTCTGTAAAAGGATATTTTAGCTCAGAGAAAAAAGATTTTGACCCTTAAAGATATTTTTACCCATCTTCAACAAACTTTCTATAATCCATTGGTGGACAGGCACCTCAGGAGCACTGAAACTGAATAAAATAAACACCATACTTGACTGTTAAGATTCCAATATTGCTTCTTTCAAGATGAAATACAGTACCTTATTAGCAGTTCGCACAGGACAGTCACAGAAGCGTATATAAATAAGGATTTCAAGTAGGTAACTGCATCAGCATTCGTAGGCTGCAAAGAAACAAGTTGAAGCATATCCCATTCTGAAAAGAGAAGAAAATAAACACATTTAAGCTGCCGAGCCTTCTTCAGGTTAATGAAGAATGGAAGGTGGATATAAGGATGCAGCAAACAGAACCACATAAATATGTTTTAAAATGTTCATCACAGAGTAGTGTGACAGAACAGTTATTTAGGACTGTTAGCATTTATAACAAATGCTTAGTGACATCTTAAGAATGTTTTTCACTATCATTCTATTTAATTTGAAGTACAAATATACTGTAATATGTTGAAAGAATGTTACTTGTTACCCCTGAATACATGAAAGGAAAAACATAAAAATAAGAAACAGTGTATGCTAATCAATCTATTTTTACTAGTTATGAAAGCATTAATACCAATTGTTAAATCAAAGTATGTTGTGTGAACCCAGATAGACGGCTAGAAGTTGTTTGTAGGGAGGAATTTATTACACTACTTTAAAACTACGCAGTCAAATTCCCAAAGGCCAACTTGAATGTAAAAAATACCCTTAACAGCAGAGAGACAAATGGGAGAAGACATTCTTAAACACACCTGACTTTTCAGCGATTAATAAACTAGAAGAGCATTTGAAAGCTAAGAAATCCCAAGCTAATTTACAAGAAATGTTCCTTAACTGTATGTCTTTTGTAAGAGAGTTATATTTCATTCAAGTGTGTGTGTGCTGAAGTGAGGGGGTTATTAGGTTTTATGTCTCAATGGAGCCAAATGTATATGAAAACATTAATACTGAGAGCTTTTTAGAAATATTTGATAGGAAATGCATACTGTATAGTGAAAAGCAGCATGAAATAATGTACTGTATGCTCTTTCTTCTTTAACATATTAATACTATAAAACAATATATATTTTTTAATTGTTTAAAAATGCTGTTTTGTTAAAACTGCACATTTGGGGAATTATTGATCGTTGTATTTGTTTAGAGTCGAAGTAAATGAAAAGCTATGAAAATGTTTCAAACATGCAGGAAGTTGGTATTTCATACATCCAAAGACATCATTTCTTTTTCTACAGAAAATGTATAATATTTCCTGTGAATGACAATTTGTGCTTAGTATACCAGACAGAATTTTTTAAAAATAATGTGTTATCCCACCTTTAAATTGCACTTAACAAAGTAAGAAAGCCCGCAAATAAGTGAAGGTTGTTTAGTCAACTAGCTTATTTG